TGCACCTATCTTCTTGAAAATTGGCAGGTCTCATGCTCCTAGAAGAAGCTACAATCCCTGAAGGTTTCATCCAGATCAGACAAAAAACAACAAAGTTATAGATAGTTCATTGGTTTCCCCATTATACCCTATGGCCGGATCTCCAAGGCGGCTCGGAAGCTTCGGCCGGATCGAGGCAGAAACCCAGCCTGGAGCTCTGGATTGATCGCGGCCATCCCAAGCGGCTGGATCTGAAGCTGAACCGGATCACTGCCGACTGGCAGAGCCCTAATGAACATGCTTGTGTAACTGTAATAAATCAAATGGGCAATTAACTTTGTTGTAATATAATTCCACAATATCCTTGCCATTTTTCTGGAATGATACATTTGGAATATAATAAAAAATAATCTAATATACTTATCAGGTGATTTCTTTATTAATTATATAGCCACACCAATGTGTCACATTTATCATGCAGTCAAAGTCTCAAATGACTAAGTGCTCTTGGGGCCTAAGGGCTCTAACACACGGGCAATATTTTCATTGACTCCAGTGAAAGCTGGCCATGGGATAAGACCACTCATTAAGAAGTGTAAGTTATTTGTCTGTGATGATTATGAAGTTTCTGTCATTTGTTTTTGTCAGGACCTATTATCCAACATCCAACTGGCCCCTCTTTTTCTCCTGAAATATGCATGGAATTTTTTGTTGTTAGGGTTTTGTTTGTGTGTTTATTTCCTTTTTGGCTCTATTTTGAAACTATGCATGGAAGAGTAAAGTTGGCTATCCTTCATTTCATTTTACCAATTTAAATTCAAATAAAACCACTGAAGATAGTAATTACCTTGGATAATAGTAGTGAATGCATATTATAATTAACATCTTTAGAACATTTACTTTAATGTTGATTGCTGTTGAGAAACAAAGTAATTTTTGTTAAGAAAAAATGTATTTCCAGATATTTAAGTATTTACTTAACTGTAAATCTAGTTACATTCGAGCTTGTTGAAATGTCAACGAATTACAGAATAATGAAATTTTAACTAAGCTTTAACTTAAAATAAAAATCACTGAATGAGCAATATGCTAGCCAGAAGCAGGTTTTTTCACTCACAGCATATCTTGTTTTTATTTCAAACTTGGCACATCTGAGTAGAAGTAAAGAAAGACTTTTACCTACAAGTAGTAAGTAAAATAGCAGTTATGTGAATAAGGAGATAAGTCATGGCATAACTTTGCTAGTACCAGTTTGAACTTAATTCATAGGATGTCACTTAGTGACAGTATGAGATTATGTATTTATTTGGATTGAGTTAACATGTAGAGGAGCAGCCCAGGAATGCAATTTGTAAAGCAGTGAACAAACATGTAACAAATAGATGTTTCTCTCCCAACAGATTCTGCACATGCTATCTCTACACCATTCTTAGTAACTGTGCTCTCCTGGAAGTTTGCAAGAGGTTTTATCATTGATTCCAGTGGGAGCAGGTTCGGCCTTCAGTACTTGCATCCTCTGCACAGAAGACACCCTGAGCCAATTACATGTGGGGCAGGCAAGTGTGATGGAGAAGAGACTACTAGGTGTTATGTTTAAGAATTAATAGGGGTCTGCCTAAATTGTGGGAGGACTTACCAATTTTCATGGGTTGATCATGCCTGAAGTTCTCTTTCTGCAGACATTTCATGGCGGTCCTGCCCCTCAGCACTGATTGGTGGTGGGGCCTTGCATTTTGGTGCTGATTGGTGGAGAGACCGGAAGGCGGGGGAGGGATGAGGGGGTGGTCTCCATCTTGATTGCTGTCTGCAGTTTGTGTGGCCCCGCCCCTCAGTGCTGATTGGCAAAGAGGCCCCAGTGGGATGAGAGGTGGCTGCCATATTTATTGCAGTCTGCCCTTCATGCGGCCCTGCCCCTTGGCGCTGATTGGCAACAAGGCCCTGGGAGGGAGGAGCACTGAGGGGGGCAGCAGCTATCTTGTCTGTTGCCTTGTCTGCTGCCCTGCCAGCCAGCACCTTTCCCTCCTGGCAGCCAGGATCACAGGCTCCCACTGGGGAGCCAGCATTTTAGTTTTATTAAGGTTTCTTTTGTTGTTGATTTCGCAAATTTTGCGGACGATCCTGTATTTCACAAAACTGCAAATTAAGTAGGTCTCTAAGAATTATTTAAATGATTGACGGACTTGCAGAACACAGGAAGTGAGGAGAGGATTCTCTTTCCTTGCTAATAATTCTGAGAGACTGTTAACATCTATCTTACACATATCTGTACACTGTTATGTAGGCGCCAAAGGAAACTGGCTGAACTTGGGGAAGTCCACACCATGAACAATTTGACTGTACATTGTTCAAGTCAGCTATCCCTACAAGCCCAGAGCAAACATAACTGAAGACACTAGAGGCCAAATTGTTAAACATGTAAGGAGGCTGCTGCAGTCAGACCAACTTGGAAGGAAGCTGAGGAAAGGATGCACTGTTTCTGTAATGGTGGCTTGAGGCACTTCACAAGGCAGGAATAGACCTCTGGGAGAGAGAGGAATTAGCAGTCCTTATTAGATTTCAGTCATACACTGCACAGTCATATACTGCACAGTGCAGCATCCCAGCTATTTCATGTTTCAGTCCTCAGTCTTTTAAAGAGAGATCAACAATTACACTACATGACGCAAAGCAGTGAAATCTTAGCCTCTTTGGAATCAACAGCAACATGCCTGCTAACTACAGAAAGGCCTAGATTTCACCCAGGAGTTGGGACAAAACAATGCAGTTTGGTTTCACTTGTGGCCTGAAGGCAGGTGTATGTAAAAAAAGAACTTATGAACAAACCAACCCCCTGCCTCCCATATGCACACGGTTTGAATGCTGATGTTCACGAGTGTTTCAGACACAATAACCAGGAAACAGCAGAAAGGACAGAATCGTATTCCATTTCTTGTGCTGTTACCTTTTCAGAAATGCATTTTCAGGGTCACTAATCAGTTTTCCACACTCAGACAGTGGCCAAGACCATGCAAAGTGTAAAGGAATGCTTAGACATATCGGTAATTTAATGCAAGCATTTTCACTCCCAGCTACTCCTTACTTTTGTAAACAGAGAGTTTTGCTTTTCTAACCATCCTCCCCCATCTTTGTAGTGCAGATGCCAAGTGATCATTATCCTGTGACAGCTAGATGAGAAATAATAAAAAAAAGAAAAAGGTAAAAGTGAGATCCACTTGAAACCTGCTGATTTTTCATGGCCAAATCCTCAAATCCCATTGCTTAAATGGAAAGCCAGTCTATCTCCTACTAGTGCACAGAAACACCCCAAAGCTTTAAAAACACAAATGTGGCATGTAGCCTTTGGCATTTGGGGGATTGAGTCAACAATTAACAATGCTTTAATAGGAACAACAGAACTTGTTCTCTCTTGTGCTTTAAAAAAGAAATCCCACACAACACGCAAAAATATGTGATCCCTGGGTTCATGCCTGCATCCTCTTTTTCTACCAGAGTAGTGGAGAATAAGGTACTCCTTTTTACCCATATGAGATACTGCTTGTTATCCACACAAGATACTGCTTGTTTTAGGTTTTTAAATCTGAAAGCTTGCTAAAACATTTTTTCCAACTGTTTAAGCTGGTCTTTCACCCAAAGAACCTTGTCTGCTTGTTATCCAGACATGCATCCCAGCAGGACAGATTGCAAGAGTATTAAGTGGAAACTTGGATCCAACTGAGTTTTGGCTCAGGCTCCACAAATCCCACTGTTTAAACAGAGCACACTTCTAGCACCTAAGCACTCAAAGGCAGGTGGCAACTGCACTTGGCACCTGCATCTTGATGGACCGTGGCACTTCGGGTGCCCCAACTCCCCAGAGTCCCCTGTAGAACCAGAGAGGGGTGCGGATCCCCCACCATGGGCAGCCCGGGTGCCCGGCTCTCAGATCTGGAACCTGGCAGGTTGCCCTAACCAGCAATTTCCGGCATCGGGGCAGAGGAGGCGGGTTCCAGTCTAAGCGGGGGGGATATCTGCCATCACCTGACGGGGAGAAAAACCCCGGAGGCCTTTATTTATCTGTCACCTGCTGGAACCTGCTTCCAGCCTGGCTGACCCCGCAGGGCTTCTGCTGGATGGGGATCAGCGCGGAGCGTCGGAGGGATCCGGGCGCTGGCGGAAGGCAGCAGCGCCCCCGCCCCCCTTTCCCCTTTAAGTGCCAGCTGTTTGCAAAGTTGCAGCCACTTCTCCGGCTTGACGTCAGCGCGGCTTCCCCGAGCCGCCGGGCTGGGGCAGAGCAGCGGCGGCAGCGGCAGCGCGCGGATGGAGCCCGGGGGCCGCGCCGCTGAGCGCTAGCGGGGCTCCGCCTGCCGCCG